AAGCCGAGTTCAAACTACATTTAGTAAGATAGTGCAACTGTTGCAGTATTTACAATCTCAGAAGCAAATATCTGGTAGGAAGTCAAAAAATGCAATGACCTTAGCAACATAGATTGTCAATATATATTTCTCAGAATGATCTTTTAATATATCTACTTTCTGTCCGAACAATACATTTCATTCCTTTCATGTACAGTGACTAAAATAGTCTCATTATTTGTTTCTTTTATTTCTTCTAGCCAATCGTCCCTGTGTTTACACAAAATACTAGAGAAGGATATAGAGCATATGGAAATATAAGTAAGTAAAACTTTATGTATTCTCAGGAATATTATTCCTTTTAAGGCTATAAATCTATGCATCTGCATCTTTGCCTACCATGTTTAATTTCAAAGATACTGTAGCTCAACTATCAGAGCTTTGCTGGAAAACTGATTCAGTACATTTCCCACAACTGACATGATGTCATGGGATTATATGACCCAGGGCTGACCCAGAAATTATGGAAATTCAGCAATGTTGGCATATACTTTAAATGCATTGGTGCTTATTGTAGGAAGTCTGCCTACCTGTCTGTCCATCCATCAGCTTGCCTTCTATCAGTCTTGAGAAATCTATGTGTATGCTTTTCCTAATTCTAATTTTCTAACGCATTTAAAATTTAAGTTGAACTTTGCAAATTGTAGGGCTCAAACATGGGAGCTTTATTTTTGTCTTTCAACTGGAAAACCTTTACTTAATAAGTTCCAAACTGCTACTAAATATTGCTAGTATTTAAATATAGGCTCCTAGAAAGATTAATACATAACTCTTTGCAGGCTGCTAATATGCGTTTTTGAAATTTTCTAAATCTTGTACGCAGGACCAATGAGATGGTTATATGAGCGAACACGGTGGTTCACTTTTCCGGTATGTGGAATGTTTCCAGTTAAACTTATAACCCATATTGGAAAACCAATTCCATATGATCCAGATATAACTGCTGAACAATTAGCTGAAAAAGTAAGTGTATTCTATTATAGTGGAATAAAATATATATTCAGATTCACACTTTGTTCATGAAATTATAACTCTATAGTAACAGTTATTGGGATACATTATTTCGATATGCAGAAGTATAGTTGAGTGCTTGGTACCTAACTGTGCTTTACTCATCAAGCCAGCTTCTATTTTATTTTTTAAATGCAGGCAGAGAAGTCATTCTACACTGTATATATACCATATGATTTAACCCAAAAGAAAAATGTGATTTATCTGATTATGTACAGTATGGCATGAGTAGGAATAGAAAAAAAAATTTTTTTTCTGAAACGTAACTCTAATTATATGACCTTTTTTCTTTTTTTTCTGCATCCTACCTCACCTCTCCAACAGACTCAAAAGGCAATAGAGGCTTTACGGGACAAACACCAGAAAATCCCAGGAAGCATATTGCATGCCATTAGGCAACGCTTTGGGACAGCTAACAAAGAAAAACAGTGATATAACAACAATAATCTGTGTAGACAATATATATGTATGCTTAGATAATATATGTGTATGTGTGGTTTTCTGTTCCCCGAGGCACTTTTGTTAAAAAAAAATGAAGATGCAAGATTGAGATGGGGAAAAATACATGTTAATTTCAATGTGTTTAAATCTCCAACAGCATATTAAATTTCATTTGGAAATGCTCTTTCCACACTCTGATGAATTATATTTGAATAATCCTGGTCACATCACACTTGTGTCAGAAGCACTGAAGTGCTTCTGGATTGAAAAGATTAGTTGAAGAAATCACCGTTGCCTAGGGGACACCCAGATGAGGACTCCTTCATGTTCCTGGTCTCGAATGCAGGCTTGCTAGCCTCCAATCCAGTGAGAACCACTGTTTTCCAACAAATCCCAGTGAACCGTAAATGACTGGAGGAGATTTACTGGTATTCAAAAAGGAAGAAAAGGAAAATGGAAGAAATATAAACCAGTCACTCTGATTTCCCTATTATGGAAATTTTTAGACTTTGTGCTGTGGGCAGTAGATTGTAAGAATTTTGTAAAGATAATATATCTTGATTGTTGTACAAAGCAGCTGACAGAGTATTTCATTCTGACTAGCAGATTACTATTGTATAGGCTGCATAGAAACTAATTGGCTGCACTGCCAACTTGAGAATTGTGCATCATTCATCAAACTTGAGTGAAATATTGAACAGGAACACACAAGATTTAAAAGTACTTTCAATGTATTAATGACTTAAGATGAAGAGTTCTTGTCAAATTTACAGATAACCCAAACTGGATAGGATAATTAATGCCTAGAAGACATAAACAAATTTCACAACAATAAAGTACAGAAATAGCTGAAAATGAAATTTAGTAGATATTAATACAAATGTATGCAATTAAGAAACAGAATTCACAATCACAGCCTACCTGGCATAGTAATAGTAATTAATTCTTAAAAAGGAGTGGACAGATTGCATTTGGTTACAAAGTGACTGCAAGACAAAAAAAAAAGCAAATGAAACTTCAAATTGTTTTAATAGAAGTATAGCTTCAAATTTCTCTCTCTCAACCCAATTCACCTCAGAGGGTTGTTTTTCATGGGAAAATAATAGGAAGTAATATTCACTGCTTTGACTGGAGATTTTACAGTATCCTTCCCCTGCCACGCCCACCAAGCCATGCCCACAGAACCGGTAGTAAAAAAAGTTTGAATCCCACCACTGTAATCTAAAAGTATGTACTGGGATCTAGAAAATGTTTGTAGAACACAGCCTGAGGAATCTAGATGGTAGCGTAATCCTTGGTTTACTTACAGCATAACTTCTGTTCTGTGGTTTCATGCTAATTGCAGAATCAGTGTTCACACATTCCCTGACAAAGCTGAGGCAGCTGGCGGTTCCAGGCCTTGGGGCCCCGGTCCCCAACTCAAGGCGAAGGGTCAGCGAGTGGCATGCATTGCTTACCTTTGGTGAGCTGGGCTGACTGGGCATCAACAAGACAACTGGCAAGGCAATTAGCTGGGCCACGTGGTGAAGGCAATATATATAGGGCAGGGGTGGGGGGGCATGCATCAAGCAACTGGAAAAGGTATTGAGCAGCCGGAAGGGGTGAGTGAATGGGTCGTGGTTAACCGGAAGTCACTACTGGTTTGGCGACCCAGGCCAAATTGTTGCTACCAGTTCTCCCGAACCAGTGAAAACCAGCTGAATACCACCACTGGCACCCACTAGGGCTCAATTTTGTATATGAATCAAACAACTGTCTCTTAGGCAACAAATTATGATTAGCAGTTCTGTCTGAAGATCATGCATGAATAGAAGCAATGATGAATTTTTGACTTGATTTTGAATAAGATCAAAGGGAATAAGCATCTATTTACTCATCTAAATCTTAGGAAGAGTTTGAAAATTTTGAAAGCTAAGATATTTTTATAGATACAGTATTTTGTTTCTTCAGAAAAAATGGACCTTTCAATGTAGGCCACAACAATAGGATTTTCGTGCACTAGTCTTTCCATCCATGCATCATGCAGCATCCATCCATCCTTGTTATTCACAATATGAATCACAATAATTCAAGAACTACAGTAAGTGCTTATATATGGTTTATTGAATTAATTTTATTCCATTGTCTTCACATAACCAAAAATCTTCAAACCAAACAATCTCCATTATCACTTAGCATACGTTATGTTAGCAACTTGAATCTGGCTTAGAATTCCTATAGGTTTGAATTTCCCGAATAAAGCTTGTTTACAGTTTAGTTTATGATTAAAGTATTTATCGCTCTGCACTTTGATTTCCTTTTTTCTTCATTGCTAGATCAGGATATATCACAACACAGACATCTGTCTATTTCCATGCCATGCAGTGGGAAAATTCACAAGACACTAATACTAAAATGTAATGTGATTTATCTGTGAGAATTGTAATTGTTGTATATAGACATTTGCATACTCGTAATACTACATTCTGATTGGACAATCACTACCGCCAAGCGATTGGTGGTTAACAACATAATATGATTGGCCGCCTAAACGGCGGGAGGTTTAACGTAATGCCATTGGTTGCAAGCCGCGAGCAGCCGCTATAAAAGAGGCTGCCCCGGGGCTTCCGGTGTTGAGTGGCTTCGGCGGCAGCAGGAATTCTCCTGTCTGCGATTCCTGCTGTGCTTGCTGCCAAGGTGCCCCCGATCCAAATGGGTCTGGGGGATATGGCTGCCCTGTAGAGGTAGCCGAAGAGAGAGGGGATCCGGACAGGGGTTTGGGGGTGTTGCAGACCCCCTCCCCAGCCGGGAAAACCCCTTTTTCCCAAGGTGGTGGAGCGGCGGTCAGTGATGGCCGTCACAAAGAAGCCTGCAGCCGGGTAAGATTTGTGCTGGAGGACGCAGGAGAAGTGAAAATGCTGGCTAACCCGAGACAATAACAACTCTTAATTACCCTGGAAACTGAACTGCTTGAATTGCCTGAGGATACATTGTTTCCCAAAGAAGATCGGAAAGCTGCGGTGAAAGCTGTTAAGGGGGAATTTTTTTTTCTTTACTCTCCCTCTCCCTCCTCATAGAAATAGCAGACGGAGATCTGGAAAATCTACTTGGGCACAGAAGGTAACTCAATTTGAAATTTAAAGCCAAGGGATAAAGGATTTCTGGACATTGGATTTAAAAAAAACTTAAAATTCTTTTTATTTTTTACAAGGGGAAGGGAAGAGATAAAGACTTATTATAAGATTGTACTGAAGGAGATTTCTTTGAGTTTATAAGAACAGGATTAAAAGACATTAAGACTTCTAGAAGATCATCTTGGAAGTGTGTATTTGAATTCTACCCCAGGAGGTGAAAATATAGAAA